TAATATCCCCCTCCTCGTACTCCACCTTCGCCCCTCGCAACTGTCCCCCCGCGAGCACCACCGGGACCGCCCTTTTGTTTCGCGACTCGAAACAGCCTCCTGCACTACCGTCGTCGCGCCACTTTTCCGCCAGAATTCAGGATGGTACGCCTCGCTTCTCTCTTCTCTCTCTGGAAGACTTCTTTTGAGAGATTCGAGGAACGTTGGACTCCCTTGCGAGGTTTCCAGAGGTGTAGCGTTTAGGAGAGCTATTTATGCGGGGAAATTATGGAAGAATTTTAGAGCACGCCTCGCTTCTCTCTTCTCTCTCTGGAAGATTTCTTTTGAGATTCGGGGAACGTTGGGCTCCCTTGCGAGGTTTTCAGAGGTGTAGTATTTAGAGCTATGCGGGGAAATTATTTGAGAATTTTAGAGCACGCCTCGCTTCTCTCTTCTCTCTCTCTCTGGAAGATTTCTTTTGAGATTCGGGGAACGTTGGGCTCCCTTGCGAGGTTTTCAGAGGTGTAGTATTTAGAGCTATGCGGGGAAATTATTTGAGAATTTTAGAGCACGCCTCGCTTCTATCTTCTCTCTCTGGAAGACTTCTTTTGAGATTCGGGGAACGTTGGGCTTCCTTGCGAGGTTTCCAGAGGTGTACCGTTTAGGAGAGCTATTTATGTGGGGAAATTATTTGAGAATTTTAGAGCACGCCTCGTTTTTCTCTTCTCTCTCTGGAAGATTTCTTTTGAGAGATTCGGGGAACGTTGGGCTTCCTTGTGAGATTTTCAGAGGTGTAGTATTTCGAAGAACTTATGAGAGAATTTTAGAAGAGGTTTGTATAATTCCTTTTCTTTAACTTTGTAGATTGTTTGTTTGTTTTTTCTGTGTCTTATCGTACGAGTGGGTTTCACGGAGTTTAGGGAATATATTGGGTTGGAAGAAAAGTTCGTAGAGTTTGTCAAACAGCTGGATCATTTCATAGGACAGAAAGATGCCAAGTTCTGGAGAATAGAATCATGAACCTGCCTTAAAGATGGCGAAAGATAGTGGAACGATGTGGCATATGTGGATGAAATATTGTCTTTGAATTTCACTTAACCCTTTCGCTGCGGCAAATTTTAGCGTGACATATTCAGATGTTCCACAACGGCTGCAAAATTTCCTTTTTTTAATTTGTTTCGTTGAATTAACGTGGAAGAATGCAGAGGATCAAATTAACACTTGAACTAACATGGAAGTGCCGGAAACAAATTTTCAAAGCGTCAGTATCAACGAAATGGTTAAAAAACGCTACGAACATTTCTTGAAGCCCAATAGTTGAAGCACTATTTACCTTAGATTATTTTTTCAAGTATCCGCGATTATCGTTGAATAACGTAGAACGGAAGAATTCGAAGCTATCGTTAGATCGTAGATCAGAAGATTGCGGAGATTGAAATTTAAGCGACGCTCGAGAGATAAGATTGTCAAACTTTTCTGCGCTCTATCTTCGGATTCGTATCGAGAGGAAAACGAATCAACGGTGGAATGGAAAAGGTGGGAGAAGAGGATCGAAAGAACAGGCGGGCAGGTTTGAATTTTCATCGAACAGCGCGGATCATCTCGACTAAAATCATTCCTGATCCGCATTCGCAACATTAAATTGGCATGGCGAAGCCCGCGAGCGAGAATGGAACAAATATTTGCCCCAAAATGGTCAGTGAGCGCGGGCCGTGTGCAAAATAACGGAGGCGAAAAAAACGGGGAAAAATGTACACGAAATCCGTATATGAAGCGGCGCGGCCCGCTACTGCGACTACTTGTCTCCTCGTGGTATTATGCGAGCGATACACGACGTGACTACCCGGCAAACATCATAAATTTTCCATTTAGTTAGTAAATCTGTGTGCCCGACTCCGTAGATGATAACGATTGGCCGTGTTATCGGTGATCGCAGAATTCGGAAAAATTACTCCTTGCCGTGGGAATTTGGAAAAGATTGCCTTCGAAGCGAGCTTATGGAATATGCAGATTTATCAATTTTTATTTCTATTTTTTATCATTCGGTGACTCTTCAACCCTTTCCCGAAATTTCCGTAGACTGCGCTTTCTCCAAATGAAAATTCCGCGGAAGAATATTATCGAACCATTGTGGTGCCAAGACTTTTAAACGAAAGGGAGTGAAAATTCGACTTGGAAGTGAGCTTCTGGAATTTGCAAATTTATCAATTGTTATTTCCATTTTATCTCGGATATTTGAACATGTAGTGACTGTGTTCAACCCTTTCCTGAAATTTCCATAGTCTACACTTTCTCCAAATGAAAATTCCAGGAAACAAAATCATAGTACCATTGTGGTACCAAGATTTCTAAATGATAGAGAGCAAAAATTCGACTCGACTTAATTTCTACGTTTCAGTCTTTCGCATCAACTTTCCATAGTCTGCACTTCATCTGAACAAAGATTCCCCGAAAGAATATTATCGTACCGCAGTGGTAGCAAGAAAAAATTCAACTTGAAAGTGAAGTTTTGTAATTTAAAAAATTATCAACGTTAATTTCCACGGTTTAGACTATCCAACCTTTTCTATCAAATTTCCACAGTCTGAGCTTCCTTTAAACGAAGATTCCCCGAAAGAAAACGATCGCACCGTTCCGGTACCAAGATCTCCGGCTGGAAGGGAGGAAAAATTCGGTACTTTAGCCGGCGCAGCCGAGGAGGAAGAGAATAGGGAGGGAATATTTCCGGGAGATTGGAATATCGGCGTTTCCCGGACATGCGGAAAACAATCTTGCATGATCCGTCACCCTCATAGAGGTTCTGGAGGCAAATCGTTGCGTACGGCTGGTAGTTAGGGGCTGCCCGTAATACAGTAATGAGGGCTTACTGCCATGGAAACCAAAGCCGCTTACAGCCAACCACTCTACTCCCAACCACCCTCTACCACCCCCTGCTCTCTCTCTCTCTCTCGCTCTCTCGCACAACGCTCTGGCCGCTCTCTATTCTCTGATTTCCTATATATCCGCGACATCCTTCTCGTCCGACGAGTTTCGCGAAAAAATTGCGAAAACCGTTCACGGGCCTCCATTGTTCCTCCACGGTTCGCCCGGTTTTATCCTCCGTCCGGCAAGATTGAGAATAAGAGACCAGAAAAGTGGCGAGGCTTCTCTCCAGGAAGAGAATTTGCCGTTTTTTTCGAGGAAAATCAAATTTACCGAGAGCTCTTTGAAATGTACATTTGCATACTTTTAGATAAATGTTACTTCCACGAGAGCTGAACTTTTTTTAAATTAAAACTGGAATTCTTCTATATAAGGTTATCTTATAATTAAAAAGAGCTCCCTGTTTTATTATTTTCATGCGACGTGTAAGACTTTTCGTTTTGAATAAATCTAGCTTAACTTTCGGTCTATCAAAAAAATCGATAACTCTGAATATTCACATTCCAAGTAACCGCGCGATTTCAATAGAAAGAAAAGGGAAGAAAGATGACGTCCCTTGGTAATGTTTCACACCTCGCGAGAGCAAACACGAAACCATAGACGACTTCATCGAGCAAAGTGGCCAGCCAAACCCTCGATCTTCCGTCTCCCTTCCGAGCAAGATGGAAATATTCGAAAATTTACGCGCTCCGCTGGCCGATATCGTCGTCGCGGCCGAAACGTGGGGTGATCCATAAAAGAGGTGGCATTTAAACCACCGTTTAAGAACTTCTTCGGTGTTTGTGTGAGAGCGTCGATATCAGGCGCGTAGACCCCGCAATTTCCTTTTCCAATTTGCCATAAACAAGTCGACCAGCCCCCTTCTACCAGCCTCCTCGTTAACCTACGCTCGTGACTGCTCTCTTGAAAGTTGCTGCTCCCAGAAGAAAGACGACCGAGGCAAGGAGGAAAAAGAAGGAAGGGAAAGGGGGCGACGACGACGACGAGTCGTTGCAAGTCGGTCGAATTAAAGGAATTAAAGGGCGCCTCGTTACTCGTATCTCTCGATCCTCGCCACCCTCTTGGCTGGAGAAGAAAGAAAGAAGAAGAAGGAAGCAGAACCGAAGGGTGGGTTAAAAGAGAAGACAGGGCGAGCAAAAGTTTGTCCTCGTTCCTTCTGCTAGGATCAAGCTTGAGAAGCGTTTGCATTAAGCGTTCGTAATGGCAGCGATTATTAGGACGCATCATTCAACCTCGACCTAGGGCCCCTGATTTTTTTCCTTCTTCGCCGACCCTGCTGCGTCGATGGAACGCCCGGTGAATTATTGAGACGCGGAGAGGCGGGAATTAAAAAATCTGCGAGACTAGCGGGCCGAGATATCGAGAGTCACGGTGGAACGACGAAGACGGGCGAAGACGACACTGTGTTTGCCAGGGTGAATTAAAAATGAGGATGGAACGAAGGGGCCAGCTGGCTCGTCCGAGGAAAAACGAGGCCATCAGTCGGACCACCAGCTTAATGTACCGACTACTGAATGATTTAAGACGCCTACGAAGAAGAAGCCTTCCATACGGGCGTATTCAGACTACGGCTGATCGAATTTTTTCAATCGACCCAAGGAGAACCCTTAATTGTCTCTCCTCGGTTCACGTCACTTTGAGGAGTTCTCCGGTGAAGATGTGGCCTTCGATTTTTTTTTTTCTTTTTAGTGAAATTGGTAAAAGAAATGACGAATCTCGGGATTCGTTATTGGCACCGACTCAATTCAGATCTTAGCTATTTCTTTATCTGTACGTAATTTTAACTAATTTCCAATTTCCCCGTGACACTTGTGTGAGAGAATATATCTGTCTCGGAAGACAGAAAACAGTAGATGGACAAATGTTATCAAAACCACGTCAATTTAACCCTTTCGTTAGCAAATTTTTTTTAAGAATGTAGCATTTATCTACTGATGACGAAGTTTGTAATGGACACTAAATTGAGATCGATTTTTATCCACGAAAGGGCTAAATTAAATAATTTTCCAAACAATAATTCTATTCTACTCTATACTTCTTAACAACACTCCGTTCACCAGCATTTTCACCACGAAGAGAATAAAAAAAAGCTGTCTTACCTCTGCCACTTCTTCCGACGAACCTAAGATCGTTGAATTTCGCCACCTGATTCTTCATCACCGCGGTGGAATTCCGCAATTCCGCGCAACAATTCTCGTCGTTGCCGGCACGCACAGTGACCAGTGTCCCGTCACCGACCTCGCCCAGGGCTACCACCTTGAACGCTACCGGAAGTGTCTTGTTTGACCGCCAGTGTGCCGGTAGCACCGTGCAAACCACGTGCGGGGACCCTGTTGACACCACCGTCGCCCAATTGTCAATGGATCTCCGACGAATCGAACCGCAATACCAAAGGCAAACATGCATTTGTTGTATCAACAACCAGCGATTAATTTTCACCGTACGATAGATCTTGTACCCCCCTCCAAATTCCACGTACAAAATTTCACTACTCCCCACTATCCACGTGAAATCATTTCTCGCACGTGGTACAATACCATGAAACACTCTAAATTCAATACATGCTAAACATCTAACCCATCTAGCACCCAAAATAAACCGATTTTTCGAAGAAAAAAGAATTCCATTCTCTCACCTGTTCGCACCAATTCTCCAGGATGTTCGGCGAACAGGCCATCCAGGGTTCTCTCAGCGAGCAGATCCGCGGTGAGGGCATAGTCCGGTATGTTATTACCACCGGTGGATCCTTGAGGTGGTACCTCGTTCGCCAGGTGCATCCTTCTCCTCGAAGACGAGGTTCTGGTCCTTCGAATCCTCGCGCCACCGATCTGGTGCACCGGGTTTCCTTGATGGTCCTGATGACCGTTTCGAACCAGTCTCGGGTCCGGATAATCTAAGCCTGGAGGCCGATCCTCGGGGCCTGCATCTCGTAGAGGATTCGTCATGAGAACAGGATCATTAGACACTTTCTGCGGAAGATCCTCCTCGCAGACAAACCGCGAACAATTCGACTCAATCTTTTTCAACTCTGTCTTCTTACTAATCGCGAACCATCTGACACTTGGTGAATAATCAAAATGCAACTGTATTTTCTTTCGAGGAGTTATCAGTGAAATTTTCACTATGTTTCTGGGAAACTTTGTCTGTCTGTACTTTGTTCTTCTGTTAATCACGATCCATATGTCACTTGATAAACAACGATAATTTGGAGGATATTTTGCAATTATCAGCGAAGTAATCTCGCTAATATTGTTTTTCGGCTAAAAGAGTGCTGTCGAAGAGGAATCCCCGATTCCTTCGGCGGCACGCGCGCAGCGTCGTAGCCCCGCGTGGCCCCTTTGATCCTTATTTCATTATCCCGCGACGGGGCCGAGGTAAGAGCATCCGTTTGCAAATGCCTCCTCCAGCAGTTGTCGATTGCCAAGTCGCGGAGAAAATTCGTTTTATTGGAATCGACCGACCCCTCGTTTCTTTCTTCCTTTGATCGGTTACCCCACTCTCAACATTCGACACAAGTCGCTCGTCGTTCGAACGGTTCCATCGGAAAATATTCACTCTCGATGCAAAAATCTCCAAAAACAGTGTCTCTCGCGGTACAATTCGAATTGCCCTCACATCAGACTATCTAACAGGTGTTCACTGCGAGATCCTCGGATCGCGACACAGACTCTTCGTGCACATTATTCTTCCCGAAAGAAGTACGTACAGATACCACTCTAAAGTCCACTCGTTAAACACGTTCCTCACAGTACGATCAACAGTCCCGGATGAAAAATCTCTTCGCAGTTACTTCTTCCCGAAAGTTGGACCATCTCTACGGCATCCGTTCGGCCGCAGGTTGCCCGACGAGAACGTGTACAGACGGAGAATTGGAATTTCTGGCAGTCCAGTTTGCTGTCAGCGTTCCAATACAGGGTCAGAAGACGACAGACACTTCTTCGTGGCAGCTACTTCGGCGGGCGGCAGCGGCAACTTCCACGGGGAAGTAGGATAGGGTGTTTAACTCGCGCGGTCTCGTTTCGGTTCGGCGGTGGAAGATGGCGGCTTCTGCGGTGGAGCCGCGCGGTGTGGTTGCGGTGTATTTTTGAGGCTGCCGCCCCCAGCCACCACCGAGACCACCCTGGCTAACCTACCCCTCCGTGCCTCTCTTCCACGCCGCCGCCACCGCCGCCTGCCCGTACTAAGCGACCTGGTGGGGGTTGGTTTTTCCAAGCGGTGGGGAAAAATCTCTCTCTCTCCTCACGCTGCGACCCTCTTCCGCGATCCTGATGCTATACTCCTGCTGATCGCGACTACACCGATGACAACACCCGTTCTCTCTCTCTTCAACGTGTCATACGGGTGCACACACAGACACATACGGTGGAAAGAACGTCTTTGGAGTTTGGAAATTTCTCTCCTTGATTAGTCACGAAGTCACGGTTATCCCGAGTTTCTTCTCTCCTCTGGTATCTAGGATTATAGTTTCGACTGATTGCAAGTGAAACTTGGACGAGCGAAGATCGTAGTTTTTGGAATTGTTAAGATGCATGATGTTCGTGGAGCTTCATAAATTTCCACCGAAGATTCTTTCGAGGTTTACTCGTGGTACGGAGCGATCGGCGTCGTTCGTAGTGTCCTTTTGTCGATTCGCTTAACACTGGAAGAGACACTCGTGACACCGCTTGACCGAAAATACCACGAGCGGTTTTCAAAGGCGTGGAACAAGAGAGGGAGAAGAGAGACGTTTGGTTTACTGGTTTGTAATTGCTGGGATCGTTGCCACCGTTGCGGTACACCGATAACGAGCTTCCTCCTTTTCCTTCCAAGCCTCTCCACGTGTCCCTTTTTTTCTTCTCTCCTCTTCTCTTCTCTATTTTTTCCTTTCTCCGCTACCCTCCGTTTCTGGCCGTTTCCTCGTCGAGTCCTTCCTGCTTCCGTCGTTCAACGACCTCCCCGCGCGAGACTGCAAAACGACACTGGGAAGAAAGGGGAAACAAAGACGGCAGAAAGGTCCCTCGTGTAGTTGCGTTTAGCACCGAGGAATACCGGGGGTTGCGCGATGCTTGGGGGCTCTTCGAGGGTGAGAGCCAGAGGGACGGGGACAGCGTGAATGGTTGAACGGGGGTGAGAGAGAGGGGAACACTTTGTCTTAATGCCCCCGTCATACGTGTACTGTCGGCTGGATGCAGCCAGAAACGAATCTTTACAGATTGAGAGAAGGGTGGATGTTTCTTCAAGTGGTCGCAATTATCGTTATTGCGTCGCGACGACGAGGTTAAACGACGGCACTCGAGGCGATTTTTCGGGAGAAACACGGAAATTCTCGTTTGAAGACTCGTTTCTGTGCTAACAAACGAACACTACATGTGGAAAAATTGACCATTTTTTAAATGATATGTATATACGGAAAAATTGGTGAAGAAAGCGACGTTCTTTCACGAAGGAAAGGATTTTTGATGTATTCGATACCTGCCACGGAAGAAGATTTGTTTTCTCGTGTACCGAGTGAAATTGGAAGGTCAAGGTAGACGAGATGCGTTAGAGCGACAGAGAAAGGCAATCTTTCACTTTTGGAAATTAAAACACCGACGAGTTTCTCTTTCGACCGACGCCAGAAGACTATCGATCACGACGGATCTGTAGCAAGTTACGAGGATCCCTGGACGGGAGAGAGCACCCCATATAATCCCACACCCCTATGGGAACACACAATGCAACGCCTCCTCCGCCTCTATCCCTAAATGTCGAGTTCCCGAGATGCATTTCGTCATACATCTCCGACCCTCGGGCGATACATCGCCTTTTTTTGTCCTCCTCCACGTTTTCCCGCCCTTCCCCTCCGCCCGTCGTTTCGACACACTTTCTGCACGATCGTCCAGAAGGAGTGGAATAATTCTCCGCGAGTACGTGTCTTCCTACGAAAAATCGTAAGAAAAGAGAGGGAAGGTTCTTGCCGCCCCGAACTGCCCTTCGAAACTCGCTGAGAAAATTTCCCAAGAAACCGTAAAATCTTCGGCAAACGAAAAATAAAAGAAAAGAGAGGACCATAC